TCTTTACAGGTACTCCACATCTTGCAAGGCTGACATGTGTGTGCGTGTGTGCTTGCGCACATGCCCGTTTGTTTGTGGCTGTTTTTTTGGCCAAGCTTGAAGCTTGAAACAAGTAATTACCCGAATCCTCGTGCTTCTGGACGTTCCATTGTGTGCCGTTTGACATAGTCACCATCATTCATTTGGCTTGACCGACTCTTGACGTGTGGCTTTGGCTCTTGACCTGGACCAGACCAGGAATTTTCATGATCAAGTGATGAGGTGGTTAGGCTGCATGATTGAATCATTCAATTGAATCACTCGCAGTAACATGTTTTGATTGCTTTCTGCAAAGCAAAGCAAGGGCCGAAGCTGAGTGACGTGAACCTTTGTGCAAGTTTGTGTTGCAGGTTCTCATTGTCAACTTGTGATGGAACTTGTTCATTCACACATTTACATGTATGCAGGCCTTCTCTGCTGAATTTCTGCTGCGATGCTCGTACTCGTCGGCCAACTTTGAATGCGGCAATGATACTCGGCCCACGCTGAGCAATCCAGCGCCATGGTCCATGCTGCACTCAGGTCAGTGGGTTGCAGTGGAAGGATTTAAGCAATTTTCCTCTTGGGACATGACCTAGTTGTGTTGGCTGTTCAGAAGTGAGGCGGCTCTGGACAGTCTTCGTTCTCAGTAGCTCGCCTAGCATCAAACGGATCACCAGTTTGCTTCTGTGGATTATGCCAAGTCCACACCAAGTGTCATGCACCGAGTGGGCTGAAAGCACCAGTGACTGCAGTCCCAGCTCTAGTGGAGAGTTCTAAATAGCTACCCGGCTCCGAACAACAAGACCTCGTCAAGAAGCAAAGCTTATATGGATTGTAGGTACTCGTCAGAATGGAAGGAAGGTCCGGCGGTAGAAAACGACCGATGGGATGAATGCAGTCAGCTGCCACTGAGGAGCTTATTGACATCATCTACGGTTGGCTTAACTACCAGGTGCGCGAGCCAAACGGGACTGACACCTGAGATATTTTCGGCGGGCAACTTGTTCAATGCTGAGGTGGAACACCACATGTACCCTGACTTGACACCGCTGCAGTGCCCCAGTTACATTTTTGCACTCATGCGTAGTACTGCGGCAAACATGCATCAAGAACAAATTTGATCAGCTTGGCTGTCAATGGAGAATGATGTGTGCGATTTGGTGGCAGGTACCGCAAGCTGCAGCCGCTTGTGAAGAGTACCTTGCACTTGCTATATTTTGCCTGCCACGTCCTGCCCAGCTGTTATGTCATGATAGACATTCATTCTGCTTTTTTCGCTTGTCGACCTGCTGGATTCTTGCAGTGCCTGTGACAGCTTTGTAATAGTAACTCTTGCCATGATTAGATTTAGTGTGCTTGGATACCTGATTTTTGGTTGGTCTCTACTGCGAGTGTGTCTCATGGCATCAACGTTGCAAATTGGCTCAACAGCTTTGCCGAGGCGTCTGCAAAAAGCATGGCGTGATGTATGTGCAGCAAAATGCATTGACCCGCACTTGGAAGATGTTCCAGGTGGCAGCTCCTTTGATGCATTTTAACGCGAGTTGCACAGTTGCGGTGTTTGATGTCTAATTGCAATCCCACAGTTGGGCACCCACTTTCTCAGTTGCCTCGCATGGCATTGTTACTTGCGCCAACGAATTCTGATTCTTGGTCTGGAGATTGTGCTGTTGTTCTCAAGGTTGGAGATGCGCAAATGAAGCGCTGCACGGAGCCTTGATAGCACAGTGGTGCTTCGCGAGTGCAGGGCTGCCAGAGTGAGCCCATTCTGGAAATCCATTCATTCAGGCGCTGGTACCCCCGGAGGCATATGCCAAGAAGGAGATTGGTGTTGAGACGCCCAACTGCAAAAGAAATGTCCACTACACGTAGGCATGACCTGAATCACGGCATGACCTGAATCACGCACGGCATGGCCTGAATCACGGCATGGCCCGACTCACTGCACGTGTTTTGTGCATGAAATGAGTCATCGCTTGACTCAAAGTGGCTTTTGTAGCTGATCTTGTACTTATGTAACTTGGCATATCTCAGGGATGTTAGTCGCTGCCTCAGAGTGTTGTTGGAGCATGCATCACGGAGACAAGACACACATTGCGAAGAATGCGTCACTCTTTTGTTTGCCCAACAAGGCTCCCGCGCTCTTGGTGCTTGATTGAGGCACCAGTGCGTAGATTTTCCAACTTTTTCGGTCCAAGAAGGCCTGTGCAATCCCTTAAATTGCCAGTGGCATCGTTGCGTTCCCTTTGTTCAACCAAACCGTGGCAAGCCGCGGCTTTACTTACCCGGCGCTTCGGGAACTCCAGATGCCATTGACTGCGGAAGGCTCCTTAATGCATAGAGCAAGCAGGAGCGCCTTGAGCAACGTTCCTTCCGTCGTTCGGAGGAGTAAGTTTGTTTCCTCCATATTTTCCGCCACATCAGTGGGCTGAACACAGCCCTGCTTTGGAATGCTGGCATCGCTCATTCAATGTATTTCGTAGCAGGCATTGAGCGTGAATGTTGTATCGCATTTTCAGCGCGAAGTCAATGAAGCGGGACGAACTCCACCTTGCGACCAGATAGAGCACTAAAAGACTGGGCTGGACATTCCTTTGTTTGATTCAAACAATAGGTGATGTAGTCTCATGAGTCTCATGCATGGCAGCCGCAAAGCGCAGACACACCCATACGAAGAGCTAGCAAACAGATGAAACAACACTGTTTTTTTCTAGCACAAAACATTGATTGCTCAAATGATGCAATAGTTGAGATGGAACATCAGGACTTCCAGGTGCACAGCGTTGCCGTCAGGTAGCCACACAGCAACGCTGGCAGCTATTTTCAGGGGACCTCCATGTGTGCTTTGCTTTGCGATTTTCTCTTCGGTTGGCTCATTGAGACTGTGTTGCGGAGGAGTGAGCGTCCTGATTGTTGATTCTTCATAGCATAGGCTGCTCCAAGCGCCAGCGATGCGAAAAGAGGAGCCGCGGCTTGCCAACTCCTGCGACTGATACACAGCGTATTTGATGTAATGGCTGCAATGAGACAGCATTTAGCATAGTGGAGAGCAATACAATCATGTTAGTATGTGTGCGATGCTATGTATGTTCTGCATGTCATATATGTGTGTTGCTCAAACGGTCGTAGTGGAAACCATAGTATGACCTCACCTCACCTTACCTTACCTTCTTCGGTGACCATCCGTTTTGGGACTTTGCACCAACTCGCGATGGAGTTGCGAAAGGAATCACTTTGCTTTTCTTCCGTGAACGTTGTGAATATCTATCATGTTCTAGTCAGTGACATGTGAGCTGGCAATTTCATACCTTGCTTATCCATCGCAATGTAGCGCAATGCAATGTAATGCGTGTATGCATGCGTGGATGGATGGGCGGATGTGTGTAATACGTGCGTGTGTCGTAATGTGATGTAATGTGGGGGTGGTGTGATGTAATGTAGTGGACTGTAATGTAATGTAATGCAATGATGCATGTAGGGAATGTGTCCAATGTAATGTGAGGTGGCGTGATACTATGTAATGTGAGGTAATGTAACGCAATGTAACGTGTGTGTGTGTGTGAGATGTACGTAACTCAGTGTCCTGTCATGTGATATGATGTGCTGTAACATAATGTAATGTGAGTAATGTGATATAAGGAGTGTTTTGCAATGCCATTTGTAATGCCATTTGTAATGCGATGTGTAATGCAATGTGCAATGCAATGTGTAAGGCAATGTAGTGCAATGTACTGTATGGATGTTTATATGTATATACATATGTGTACCGTAACGTAATGCAAACCAAGGTCAGGCAGCGCAACGGAACGATATGTATATTGTAAAGTACTGTAACACACGGCGTTCATGCCATGCGTGTGGGGCAAGTTTTGGCTTGTTAGGTAAGGCGCTGGCGAGGATTCTGTCTTGTAAAGGAGCCCAGTGTGAATTCCGAGGCAGCGTCGGTTGGGTGCAGAGCCGGGCTCTGAATGCTTGGATTGACGCAATTTGATGTTTTTGCAGGCCGCATGCTCATCTTGTTGGCCGGAAACGTGCTTTGCAGCTTCACTTTTTGCGAGCGTTGTTGTGCAAGTTTGGACCAGCGTTTTCGAGGCTTGGGCTCTGTGGGCGAGTGCTTGTAGCCAAGGAGGACGGGGTGTGTGACAGCTTGCGACGAGGCAACAAACTAGCCGCAGCCCTTGCAGGGCATCAACGGTACGGTTCAAGGGAACGCGGATGCAATCTCTGCGTACGAAGTGCAGCCCTCAAAGCTTCCAAATTGTGTCCAACGGGCTAGGAAGGGGCGCGTGAACAGGCAGCTGCCATGTGTGTGTGTGTGTGTGTGTGTGTGTGTGTGTGTGTGTGTGTGTGTGGGGGTGTGTGTCTGTTTGCGTCGTTCTTGTTTGTTTGGTGCGCTGAGGCTAGAGTCCAAGCAGCTTTCTGCAGAGAGATTGATTGGAAGAGGAGAAGTTGTGACATCATTAAGCTTGTGTTGTTGAAACTAGCGCATTGGCTTTCAGTGCACCTGCGCCGGCGACCACACACGCACACATGCGCATGTCAACTTGAGGGTTGTGGCAGCCGACACCTCAGCAGGGTGTCGCCGCGTTTGACGGGCTCTGCACAGGCAAGAGGTTTAAGTGTTTCGCGTGGTTTGGGCTCCTGCGCTACTTCGGCGTAAGCCTTCCACCTTCTACTGTCGGTCACCCCCCCAGCGCTTGCGCATTGTGTTGAGCTGTGCGCCTTGCCACACACTGCGCTCCTTGGGGCAAAGTCATTCGCGAGTTGCTTGCGATTTGATCAAATCACACTGTGACCTGCGTGGAGAATGCGCACGTCCGTACTTGATGACGAGTCCGCAATTGATGCGTGCCCGCGCCCTATGGCTTGGATTGCTCTGGTGCCCGAGCCCGTGGCGCCGGTGGTGGGCCCTGGGGCTGGCGGGTTCGCGCGGCGACAGTGGCAACGTCACCTGCAAAATGGAGCCTCCATTAGAAGCGCTTCGAGTCAGCGAAGTTGTGGCCATATTGTCTTTATTGCGGTCTTCCGCACGCAGACTTGGGAGACAGAGAGACAGCGAGACAGAGAGACAGAGAGCAAGGCAGCCAATACACAACCAAACGCACGAAAGCGCATGAAGCTCTGCAAATGTGGCGAGCCCGTGGTGGGCCCGGTGGGCCCGTGGCGGGCATGGGTGCCATGCAGATTCCTCTCCGCCATCCTACACAAATGATGTTTTTTTGGTTTCAAGCGTTTTCACTACGTTCGCGCATTTACCGACTTGCATGTTCACACGTTCGCGAGTGTGCTAGCTCATATTGCACTTGCACGCCGGCCCGCATTCGCACGCATGCATGCCCACAAACACGCAGAGATTATTGCACTGCACGGGGTCAGCTGAAGGAGCCACAAGCCCGGAGCTTTTCTTGGAAGGTGCTTTGTATGCGTAGGCATGTGACCCATAGATGGGTCTCTGAGGGTGACAGACTGCCTCTTCCCCGACCTTGTTGTCAAGGAGGCATTTGAACTGGGCTAGGACGAGTCTGTGTCGCTTCAGTGCTCATTCCATCAGGAATGCTCCTCTGACCCTTGCAAGTACTTTCAAAGAGTTGTCAGCCATCCTTGGCTCCGAGCTCCTTTCAAGAACTTGCGCAGGTATCTGAGCTTGTCGGCTTTGGCTTGCAGGAACCATTGGACATGGCAGAGGCCCGTATTGAGTTGAATTCATTGGCACAACAAGCACTTGAGATCGGATGTTTGAGGCTGGAACGCACTTGACGCCTGAAGAGCCCCGCTGGCCATTGACGCACCTTGCTAGATCATGCACAAAGAACAGCATTGGCCTCCGGTGCTCTTGCAATTGACGAACATCAGCCGCACAAAACCATGGCAGGTTTCATTCCCGACTCCTCCAGAATTCAGGGCAGCCTGGAACTGAGATTTTTCCATCATGTCGCAAAATTGACCTTGCTGGTCACCACAATAGAGCTGTTCAGGCTGCGATTGATTGACGTACGCAACACCTTTGAGTGCCACACATATTGATGTAATAGTTGTTTACCGCCCAGTGATTGAATTCAATCACTTTGAAGCCTTGACTGCTTGCAGGTACAATGTTGGACACTTTGACGGTGCCATTGATCCTGGCATGACGACGACACCTTAGTCACTTAGTATGCCCAATCAATTTGAAACCTTTCAGCCACGGAATCATTGTTTGGTATTGCGGCTATGTTGCTGATGTCAATCCCGTCGGTTCCGCTTGTGTTGGGTGTGCAAAGGTTCCTTTCAATCAATGTGGACTTTTTCGACAGTTTTCGGCTTGTTCGCCTTTGTGAAATTACTGCCACAAGGCACACAGCCCAGTGGCCACGGTTTGTGAAGGACAACATTGAGGCCTGTCAATCAAGCATTCTTTGAGGGATCTGTATATCTGCTGCCCTAGCCACAATCAACTCCAATCAGAAATGGCCCATCGGAATATTATTCTCTTCAGTTGCTCGTTGTGCGCATCTGGGACTGTAGGACCTTCGCGGCCATACTGTCATGCTGTACTGCCAGAAGCTAAGACATGGACTCCCGGCTAGATGGCAAGGATTGGAATGCGAGTCAAGGCACAGCGTCAAATGTCTGACATGGCAAACGCATGGGGCGACTTGCACGCTGTTCAAGGCACGGGAGGCATCAGATGTGAGAAGGCCAGGAAGAGCAGCTCATGTGGCATGCTTTGGCTACGGCTTCTTGCTGACTTACTGAAAGTGCTTTCTGAATCCCTTAAAAGCAAGTCAACATGCAGAAGCGGGGGACCCTGCTTGCAGAATGGTGACTGCACTATCAAGGATTGCTTGTTCAGAGGCATGGTGACATCACGTTATGTGCCTAAGAGGCTTCCCATTTCCATTGATGCTAGCGAACGAGTGTCGCACTTGGACGTGTGAGGCAGATGTGCCGAAATGGACAGCAGTGTTGAGCATTGAAGAGCCATCTCTCATGATGCCCCCAAGCCTGTCATCAGCATCCCGGAGACCTATCGCTTTCTGAATGCTGGCCATGGGCATTGCCGGCCGAGGAAGTGGATGCCCTGTTTTTAGAAAGACCACCTGCCCTGCTGCTAGAAGAAGTCTCAATGTTCACAGGGAGTCACATTAATTCGTATTTGCACGCTTTTGCACGACTCTTGCTCATCAACGGAATCTTTGGTATCATTGCCCCGTCCTTTGCTTATATGAATCAACAGCTTCTGATTGGCCCAAGAAGGAACAGACTTGCGCTCATGACAGGCAGCTTGAATTTATAACTACTTAGACTTTGGCACAAGTTTGGTTGGTGTTTCGTCGGTTCACGTTTAAATCATAGACAGCTTTGCCCTGAGCCGATTCGCAGGCATCAGTCTACTTGCGCCAGCGTTTGAAGGAGCTGGACTGCGACAGCACAACGCCAGTGTGCATCCAGCCATTTTAAGTTAGCAACTTCAAATGAGGCAATGAAGGCGTTGTCAAATGACGGCACAGAATCAAGACAAGTTTGAGTTTATATGTCCCAATTCAACACACAACTCACAAGCCACGTGTAGGTGTGGTTGCAGGATCTATCCAAAGTGTATGCTTTCCTGTGGCCACCTGGCAGGTTTCAGTTGAATGGCGGGATTCACCGCTATCTTGAGGCCACTGCCTGAAACAGCTTTGCCACCCTTTTGTAGCTAGTGGCATGCAGTTCCGTCAGAAGTGCTTTAGTGCAAGAGGAAGTGGCTGGGCAGCTTAAAGCTGGGGAGTCGCTTCGTCAAAGAATGCTTCTGGGAAACAGTATGCGGCCAACCGCCTTGAGCACTCCTTGCGCAGGCCTTCCCTGATGGTGGTCGATTCAAGGGCGCGAACTTTGTTTTCGACAAGCGAGCCCAGATGCGGTCTGTGACCTGCCATGTTTGTGATTGCTCTAATGCAACACAGCAGAGCCGCAGAGCCGATTGTCTTTTCATGAACACTGAAGGTGCATTTGCCAGTCGCGCCAGGGTGATGGTACGGTGGTTGGTTGCTGCTCCGAATGCTCGCGCCCCTGGGCCTGCCACACAGAGTGGGAAAGGCAGAGTGCAATGAGCATCGGAGATTGAGTTGCCTATATAGCATTGACCAGCATGACTTAAGCCGAGTTGGCAGCTGCATAAATTAGTCAGAAGCTGGCAGCGAAATGCCCTTCCACCAACCAGGTTGTGGCGCGCCCAGAGCGCTGTTTGGCCCAACGGAAATGGGCGCCCCTCATCCCACTCGCGATGAGCGGTGCCTTGTCGCTCTGGGTCTTCGCTGCGCCTCGCTGCGGGCAACTTCCTTCGCACTCAACTGTGCGCTGGAGCTTCTCACAGGAGACCGGCACGCCAAGCGGCAGGTCGTCTCTGACAAGCTGATCGGCAATCTCGATGACCACATCCGCTGGCCTGGCCTGATCAAGGACAGGCTAGGTGTACCCCAATACACGATGCAGCAAAAAAAAACCCTTACGTAAACCATTGCCCAGTGAAGGCTCAGCACGCAAGGGCAAGGACAACCTGTTTTCACCAGCTCGCCGACTACTTCACAGAGCGGAGGATAGCGGTGAAAGGCCTCAAGTCCGTGACACCCAGCGCTTCCTGTGTGGCCCTCACGAGCTACCAGTGCTTGCAGGCTTCTAAAGGTCCTGCGCTGCCCAGCTCTCTGAGCGCGCCCCGCAATGGCTCCAGGACAAAGTTCATGTCAACGTCCGCGCAAGATGGGATTTCCATCCGCTCGGTTGTGATGGGCCTCGTTGCCCCCGTGAACTTGAGCTCACCCTTGGCTAAGGATCGCCTCTGGCGCCCAACTGCCAGACGAGGCTTGTTAATGTGAGCCACTGCAGCCAACTCCACCATCAGTAAAACCGTGGGGCGGAGGCCAAGTGGGTGTCAATAGGCACAAACAAGAAAGTGCGTCACTTCAGCAGCTTCACCAGCGAGGATGGCTTGAGTCACACAGTCGCAAGGCGGCCAACGTTGGCCACCGAAGCTAGCTTACGAGAGCGAAGGCAGCGACCGCCACCAAGCCAATGTTGATGCAGCTCCTGCAATAAAATGCATAACCAAGCAGTCAGAAGAAGGCATGCCAAACCTTGTCAGCCTGGTCTGTAAGAGGTCGCGGCGATCAACCACCCGCCAGATTCCAAAAACCAGGCCTGCGTCTCCGCTGGCGACTGGTCCTGGAGATGCTCCATCATCCCGGAAAGGAGCCTCGAGCAGCTCTGCAATGCGCGGGCGCAATAAGAATTCCAACTGCACGAGGATAATGGGACCCAGCGATTCCCTTGGCAATGATTTTCAAAGCCTTCGATGTTTTGCCAAGGATACGCATCACGGTGGCCGAGTGTGCACGGTGTGCCGGGGCCTTATGGCTTTGCCAAAAATACCAACAGAAACCATAGTCTACGAGTCATTTGAGGCCCAGCGCTTAGAGGGGGAGCAATTCCTTGCCCATGAAAAACAGAGAGAGATACAGAGACAGAGAGACAGAGAGGCCCCTGCTGGGCAACACATGCCGCAGGTCGGGCTTTAGTGCTCGTTTGCGACACGTGCGATGCTCTCAGCGTCGGCGAGTGCCCTTCAAAGTTAATTCTGGAAAACATTCAGTCAATGTGGCATTGTTTGCTTGTTTGCTTGTTTGTTTGCTTGCTTGCTTGCTTGCTTGCTTGTTTGTTGGTTGGTTTGTTTGTTTGTTTGTTTGTTTGTGTGTGTGTTTGTCGGTTCGCGCTCGTGTGCGGAGTTGATTGCCGTCCATTTCGTGCACACTTCGAGCATACTCAGCGACTCATGTCATGAGTTGGGATCCAGTGATCGCCAGGACATCAGTCATGAGTTGATCAGCAGCCAAAAGCATAACACTTCTGTCAGACTTCTGTAGCCGACTTTGCAGCTGCTTGTGTGCAATGGCCTTACGTGGCAGTCAGCAGCCAGATTGCCGTCCCGTTTGAAGTTCACCACGCCGATCGCCCAACCACTTCCCTGGTCGAGGCTCCTCGTAACCGATAATCCCGGCGCGTCGCCAAGGCGCACGACGCTTCGCTATATAGAAAGTGCATCGAGTGCCTGTTGAGCGTTAAAGGCATCTTGTACAAAATCAATGTCCAGATCAGCGCTAGGCTCAGGAGCATCCTGGCACGACATCACGAATTTGTCCTGGGGTGCAAATGTGAGTGAAGACGTGCAGCGTCCTTCGTAAGCCTGGTGAGCTGGATCACAGACGTTCTGCAAGCATTCTGGCACAGCGCTTCCATGTCAGGGTCCTCTGAAGCAGAGCCGTACTTTCGCGATGCTCGTGGCATGGAAGCTCACAGCAAACCAAACAAAGCGATACTCAGAACTTAAAGCTTTCTTTAAAAAAACCAACCAAGAACAAACCTGCAGCACATCAACATCATCTCCAGAAGCCACCAATCAAGACTGCGTGCCAAGTTGACTTGAGCCCAACAGCCAACATGTAGAGACGACGACATATTTCCACTTTGATTTGACCTCACAACACACCTATGAACCGCTGCACCGCACGTACCAACCCCAACAAACTGGTACTCAGAACAACCAGTAGTTGTTGCATTTGTGGGTTTGTCATAAAGCCTGGACAGTTTCTCAAGCCGTCCAGATCAGCATTAGACGGATATTTGTAGCACTGGAGCATAGGTTTTATCCGAGCACACTTAGCCATTTCCAGGCACCACTTCGAAAGGTGTTCCGCCCACTGCAGAGGAAGTGCCAAGGGTCGCTCTAGCCCCGCAAGATCAAGCGTTGAAGAGTAGACACCCACCCAGTTTGCTGCTCACACGTGTGCGGTCCCATACGTTCACGTTCGTACTTGTTCCTTTGGAACAGCTACACTGACTTGTATTTTTTCCCTCAGCTACACCAGGATGTGAAGCATGAAACTTCTGAAAGGCAACTCGATGCGCCTATGTCTTCACCGTTTGTGGCAACAGCACACGCCATATCTGTGACTCTAATGCTTGTGTCATTTGTGATTCGGGTGAAAGATGACGATGGTGACTCGAGGATTTTGTGTTTTTCGGGGTCGTATATGACGCAGCATGTGACTGCCCCTTTCGAAGTGTGGCCCCTTTGCATTGTGGAGTTGAGCGGACATTCCCTTAGGCCAAAGTAATTTGGTATCACTCTGATAGGGTCGGGCGGGTGTTCTCATAGGCGGTGAACGCAACCATAGGGTCCCTTTGGCAATGAAAGTCACCATTTGGTGCCATGTGGATAGGGTCGAGAGGTCTCCCTTGTGGACAGTGAATATCTGAGGCAGAAGGGCCTGGGGTGCCCATATCAACCTGCAATGTACAAAGAACATGCACTGAATGAGTGTGAAGCATTGTATGAGTAGTGACTGAATTATTTAATGAGTTAGAATGAGCGAGCGAGCGAGCGAGTCAGTGAGTGAATGAGTGAATGAGTGAGGGAGTGACTGCATGAATGCATGAATGCATGAATGCATGAATGCATGAATGAGTGAGTGAGTGACTGCATGAATGCATGAATGCATGAATGCATGAATGCATGAATGCATGAATGCATGAATGCATGAATGCATGAATGCATGAATGCATGAATGCATGAATGCATGAATGCATGAATGAATGAATGAATGAATGAATGAATGAATGAATGAATGAATGAATGAATGGTGAATGAGCAGTGAGTGAGCGAGTGAGCGAGTGAGCGAGTGAGCGAGTGAGCGAGTGAGTGAGTGAGCGAGTGAGCAAGTGAGCGAGTGAGTGAGTGAGCGAGCGAGGGAGTAGTGAATATGAATAAATTTTAATTAAAATATGAGTGAACATGAGTGAACATGAGTGAATATGAGTCTGAGTGAATATGAGTGGTGACTCAGTGATTCTCTGGCTCACTGACTCACTCATTGACTTACTGAGCGACTTACTGACTGCCTGGCTGACTGGCTGTCTGATTGGCTGAATATTTGCGCCTGAATGACTGACTGATTAGTGACTGGCTGAGGGCTGAGGTTCTGAGTGGCTGAGAAAGTGGGAGGAGGGAGCGAGAGGGCAGGAGATGTGTTGCAAACCACGAGCTACAGTGTGCAGGTACTGGTGTCCCGAGCACTCAGCGCTTCGAGGCTTGCATTCCCTCGTTGCCTTTTGCGGATGCTGTGGCTGGGGCAATTGTTTGCTGCAGGTGTTTACTTTCATTTCCTTGACCGCTTCACTGCGCGAGCCTCAATTGGCAGACGAGCCATGGTTCAGGGACTCAAGGCCAACATTTGTGTGCCGTTCTGAGCTTTAGAAAGCATTGATATTGTAAAAGCTAACCATTTAACATGCTTGAGGCGGAAGAGATGCAGTGGCAAGCGGGCAGACTGCAGGCATTCCTTGACAAGGAGGCAACTGACTCTGCAAGTACTGCAGCTTTGCCGGCGTCAAGGGTCCCGTCAGTGCCTGGCAAGGTGGGAACCCGGCGCAAGAATCGACGCAACACACTGAGGAAGAAACTGTCGCAGGCGAGTTATTTTCGAGTCTTGCAGAACTATGCTTGACGATGATCAGGGGAAAGGCATTCATTCTGGGGAATGTGTAGTGATTGTTGAAAACACTGCAGTCCTGCAGCAGCCCGGCCTATTGAGATACATCTCACGGGCTTTTGGTGGCATGCAAGAAACAGTACACTTGCAGGTGCAGAGCCGATTGGATGAAGTCAATCATGGTGCCGTCAGAACCTCAAGATTGAGAGACCTTTTTGCGCTGCTCAGGCTGCTTTTGTCCCTCAGGTCCCTGTCCCTGCTCTTCGACGCTGTCGAGCTTGCGAGAGGCTGCTGCCTTTGTCACCACGAGATGCAATCACTCTGTTTAAGGCCGTATGCTACGTGCCCTGGAGCTTGCTGGGGCTTTTGGAGAGCTGTGCTCCTAGAAAAACTGCAGCCTGCGAGCCTGCGACTTGCACACGCTGTGCGCTTCGACGTGGATGGATGTCGTTATTTGTCTTTGCCTAAGGATCCGGCAAGTGAAGCTGAGACAGCCCTGAAAGTGCAGCTGTCGACAGCCGCGAAAAGTAGTGAAGGCAACATGCAGGGGTTTGGCTTCGTTTGGATTGGCCGGATAACGGATACAGCTCTAGAGGATTGAGTGTTCCGGCTGCTATGTCATGCCATGTTTGAGGCTCAAACCTTTAGCCAAATCATGGGCATAAAAGCACAACTAGCCAGTCTACCGCAGATCTAACCAGGCAGTCCTTTATGGTCTGACAGAGAGCTCAAAACAAGCGGGGAAAACAGCAAGCAACGTGCCTTAGTGAGTTGAAACAGCTTAGAGGTGCACAGCATTCGCACTTTGACTATGTAGTGCCAGAAGAGTGATGCTGGCACCTTTCTGCTGTGCAATCAGGACGGGTCATAAGAAAGAGGGCGCCTTGGAAACAAGTCCACTTCCCAAACATGTTCCCAGCCTTGCGGCCACACGGAAACGCCCTACCCACGCATTGCCTAGGCTCACACGCAAACGCACACACGCACACACACACACACAGGTATGTTGCACAGTTGCCTAATCGGCAGCAACACGCAGGGTAGACGAGGGGGGATTGCCTGGCAGCATAATAACAGGTCAACGGCAGTTGGAAGCATTTCCTTTGCAGCAAATTCGAGCATCACCTGCATCACCTCATTTAGTCCTCACTTCCAAGTGTTCGAACCAGGCTTAGTTCAATGTCAGAACGGGAGTACGATTCCATGGCATGCGCCCAGGATCCTGACTTTTCACAACTTGCTTCAAGGCCCAGTAGCGAACCAAACATTGTCCATCTAGAAGTGAACGGGCCTCTTTGCTTGAGCGCTGTACATTGTCGTTCTAGGCTTCAGGGCGTTGGCTTGGGCTAGTCAGGGATGGTAGACTTCAGTTGCAAGCCGGGATGTAGAGTAATTTCTCACGGGACCAAGATCTGGAACACAACCTGGTCGCAAGTGGTCTGAGGCCGGGCAGCCTATACGGATTGTTTGACAGCGCGTAACCAAACAACCCCAGTTTTCCGGATCAAAATACAGTGCCCTTGGCTGTAGTGGCTTGGTTCTTTGATGGGGCATGCGCGCACAGCAGTGTGCCAGCCGGAGATCTGCTGATTCATATTGCTGCCACAGAAGAGGAGGCTGCTCATTTTTGGGAATGCCGTGTTTCGCATTGGGCCCGTTTTTATGGCCAAGGCCGTTTTGTTGCTCCTCGTAGGGCTCAGCAACCTCAGCATCAGCAAGGTGCCGTGCAAAGCCCAAGTTCGCACAAGTTTCAGTTTTTCTGGCGCCCTGCCTATGTCCAGAGCGGGCTTGTCATCGACAAACTAGAAACCCGTTCTGAATATAATATATGAATGTAAGAAAACATGTTAGTGCAAGAGTATGCAAGAGCCATATCGCATTAATATAATTGCCTGATTGCAGCAGCGGGCGGTTGACCAGCATAGGTGAATATGTGCTGTGTGCATGCATGCCAGGAGAGTTCAGTGACGCAATGTCGTCAGACCCCGTGATTCTGGATGTCCTGGCATCAATTTGCAAAGATGCGCTGCAGTTGTTTGAGCGCGTCAAGGTCGTTTTTGACGACAAGGACGGAGTGAGACAGCTACTCGCTTATCTTGCACAGGCATATTCCTGCTTAGCGGGATCAGCATAGCATGATGGCAACATAAAGGAACGGCTCCAGGCCAGATGAAGAGAAGCGAAATGAAGACTGACAATCATAAACTCACATCATGAAAGCAAGCAATCAAGAGCGATCAGGGCTTGCTGGACTCAGCGGTAACAACTCATGGAAATTCTAGCAGCCTTTAAGTTGTTCTTTTGTGTGTGATTGCACGCGTTTGCATCCGTGCGTTCTGGTGTTCGCTTGTGTTCGTTTGCGGTATTTGTTTGCATTTGTTTGCTTGTGTTGATGTTTGTTTAGTTGCTCGTGCGTTGGCCTGTCCCGGTTGTTCGCGTGCTAGTGATTTTGAACGACCCTGCGGCTTTGGCTGTGTTGAGGAAAGTAAGCTCAATCAGGCTGATTTTGGTGTTATTTCTCAGAATGTAGGCATACGACAATATTTTTGTTTGTGTGTTTTTACCGATTTTGCACGGACAAACCCACGGCAACTGGGCAGCTCGGCTTCATAGTGCTCATCAAGAATTAGTGCTTGTCAAAGCTTGGAATTGTTCATTTTTGTTATTTTTTTTGCCGGGTGGGGGAGGGGGGTCGAATGCATTCTGTGATGGGTGTTCGGCTTGTTACACGGCAGGAGGAGCGAATCAGCAATGTTTGCATCTCGAAGCACTTTGTGTACTTTGTGAATCGAGACACTTGGATGCACTGCTTCAGATTTGTTTGTGCCTGACTAGGGAGATTTCTGCTCATCACTAGCTGGTTGCTCTGAGGAGATGAACAGGCTCATAGAAGGCAGCCACTTGGATGACAAATAGTGCATCCCCGGCATCCCCCCCAAGCCCCAACAAAAACTTGAAAAATGCTACAACACAGTATTTGCGGTGTTTTCCGCATGGTGGCCATGTGGCCGCGTTCGCGGGAACCCCGCTCGCTTGATCGCAAACAGCGCTGTGTCCGCTTTCCGCCAAAACCTACTCCAGGGACCTTTGGAAGGTTGACAGGATGCTGGGGATGCTGGAAAGCCCGGATTTGATGCAGAGATGCTGGTGAAGCTGGATGATGTTTTCGTACTGGAAGATGTGATTTTCGAGACGGAGCTGCGCAAGTGCATGTCGTGTACTAAAGTGGTACTGACAAGTTGTGGTTGTCAAACTCTATAGAGTAATTTCAAAACAACTTTTCTACTAAGAATGACTGTTTCGGGACCGGAGTTTGGACCAACCCAAACATGTCAAATCACGAAAGCTAGCTTTGGCTAGCTGAAGTTTCTCCTTGCGTAAGCAAGGTAAGGGGCTGAACTGCCGAAAGATTGATTTTTTCAATTATTTGAGCCGAAAAGATTGAAAAAAATCAATTATTTAGACCCCCCCCCCTCCCCCCCCCCCCGTCTCAGGCTCGATTCCTCCTTGGTCCACCCCTCCCCCCGGGCAGTGGCTCAGTGTTTCAGCAGTCTCGGTCTGCCCGTTTTGGACTTGGTGCTACGAACTTTTACATGTTCCACCGATTCAGCTTGTTCATTTGAGACCTCAGTCTTCTCAGTAAACCACCTCGCAAGAATCTTTGCACACGCAGCATGCAGAACCCAGAGGTGCTTTAAGACAGCTTCTGACGCCTCTCGTTGTTTTCATTTTTCAAGGTTTGCCACGCCACAATGTGCGTTTGCGTGTCGCATCCTACGAATCTTGCCGGGCCTCTCGTTGTACACAAGCTACCTATGAATCCACTCTGTCACCGACCCATCTCATGCAACAACTGCTAGCTTTCGTTTACCCGCTCCTCAAGTGTAAAATGATGCATACAATACAATGAGCTGCATGTAATGCAACGTTTACTGTCTTGAATGTATTGAAGGTATGTAGGTATGTATGTGTGTATGTATGTAATCAATGTGTGTATGTATGCAGGCATGTATGTAAACTAGTTTATGTATGTAATGTATGTAATGTGTGTACTGTATGCAATATGTATGTCATCTATGTAATGTATATAGTGTATGTAATGCATGTAGAGCCTGTACTGTATGTAAGATATGTATGCAATGCAATCTATGCAATGCAATGTATGTAGTGTAATGTAATGCAATGCAATGCAATGCAATGTAATGTAATGCAAAGTGTTGTGATGTAATGTGATGTAATGCAATGTAATGCAATGCAAGTAAGTGTATGTATGTACTGTATGTACTGTATGTACGCATGTAGTGTAATGTAACGTAACGCAACGTAACGTATGTATAAATGTATGTATGTGTGTGTATGTCTGTATGTATGTGTGTATCAATGAATGTAATGTATGTATGTAATGTAATATAGTGCAATGTAATGTAATGTAATGTAATGTAATGCAATGCAATGTAATGTAATGTAATGTAATGTAATCTAATGTATATACGTATGTAGGTAGGTAGGTAGGTAGGTAGGTAGGTAGGTAGGTATGTATGTATGTATGTATGTATGTAATGTCTGTCTGTCTGTCTGTTTGTCTGTATGTATGTATGTATGTATGTATGTATGTAATATGTTTTTATGTATGTAATGTAATGTAATGTAATGTAATGTAATGTAATGTAATGTAATGTAATGTAATGTAATGTAATGTAATGTAATGTAATGTAATGTAATGTAATGTAATGTAATGTCATGTATGTATGTATGTAATGTAATGTAATGTAATGTAATGTAATGTAATGTAATGTATGTATGTATGTATGTATGTATGTATGTATGTATGTATGTATGTATGTATGTATGTATGTATGTATGTATGTATGTATGTATGTATGTATGTATGTATGTATGTATGTATGTAATGTATGTATGTAATGTAATGTAATGTAATGTAATGTAATGTAATGTAATGTAATGTAATGTAATGTAATGTAATGTAATGTAATGTAATGTAATGTAATGTAATGTAATGTAATGTAATGTATGTATGTATGTATGTATGTATGTATGTATGTATGTATGTATGTATGTATGTATGTATGTATGTATGTATGTATGTATGTATGTATGTATGTATGTATGTATGTAATGTATGTATGTATGTAATGTATGTATGTATGTATGTATGTATGTATGTATGTATGTATGTATGTATGTATGTATGTATGTATGTATGTATGTATGTAATGTATGTATGTATGTATGTATGTATGTATGCAATGTATGTAATGTATGTAATGTACGTAATGTATGTAATGTAATGTATGTAATGTATGTAATGTATGTAATGTATGTATGTATGTATGTATGTATGTATGTATGTATGTATGTATGTATGTATGTAATGTAATGTAATGTATGTAATGTAATGTATGTAATGTATGTATGTATGTAATGTATGTATGTATGTAATGTATGTATGTATGTATGTATGTATGTATGTAATGTGTGTAATGTATGTAATGTATGTATGTATGTAATGTATGTATGTATGTATGTATGTATGTATGTATGTATGTATGTATGTATGTATGTATGTATGTATGTATGTATGTATGTATGTATGTATGTATGTATGTATGTATGTATGTATGTATGTATGTATGTAATGTATGTATGTATGTATGTATGTATGTATGTATGTATGTATGTATGTATGTATGTATGTATGTATGTATGTATGTATGTATGTATGTATGTATGTATGTATGTATGTATGTATGTATGTATGTATGTATGTATGTATGTATGTATGTATGTATGTATGTATGTATGTATGTATGTATGTATGTAATGTATGTAATGTATGTATGTATGTATGTATGTATGTATGTATGTATGTATGTATGTATGTATGTATGTATGTATGTATGTATGTATGTATGTATGTATGTATGTAATGTATGTATGTATGTATGTATGTATGTATGTATGTATGTATGTATGTATGTATGTATGTATGTATGTATGTATGTATGTATGTATGTATGTATGTATGTATGTATGTATGTATGTATGTATGTATGTATGTATGTATGTATGTATGTATGTATGTATGTATGTAATGTATGTATGTATGTAATGTAATGTAATGTAATGTAATGTAATGTAATGTAATGTAATGTAATGTAATGTAATGTTGTATGTTATGTATGTATGTATGTAATGTATGTATGTATGTATGTATGGATGTAATGTATGTATGTATGTATGTATGTATGTATGTATTTATGTGTGTATGTATGTATGTATGTATGTATGTATGTTATGTATGTAATGTATGTATGTAATGTAATGTAATGCAATGTAATGTCATGTAATGCAATGTAATGCAGTGTAATGCAATGTATGCATGAATGTATGTATGTATGCATGTATGCATGCATGTATGTATGCATGTATGTATATGTGTATGTATGTAATGCATGCATGTAGGTACGTACGTACGTACGTACGTACGCATTTATGTATGTATGTATGTACGTACGTACGTGTGTGTGTGTATGTATGTATGTATGTATGGTATGGTATGGCATGGTATGGTATGGTATGGTATGGTATGTTATGTGTATAATGTAGAATGTATGTAATGTAATGCAATCTAATGTATGGAATGTATGTAACGTAATGCAAGGCAACATAATGTATTGTAATGTAGTGTAATGTAGTGTAATGTAGTGTAGTGTAGTGTAGTGTAGTGTCATGTAGCGTAATGTATGTAGTGTCTTGTAGTGTAGTGCACTGTTGTGTGGTGTGGTGTGATGTGGTGTAGTGTCGTGTGTGTAGTGTAGGGTGGCGTAGTGTAGCGTCTTGTAGAGTAGTGTAGGGTAGTATAGTGTAGTAAAGGGCAGTGTTGTGTAGTGGGGTGTGTGCTGCGTCGTATTTGTCAAAGGAAGTTTAGAAGGAACTTCCCTAGTACAGAAACTAAATAGCTTTAGGAGATCAGAAAGCGCATGCACAAAGAAAGCGTATGCAGATAGTTTGCGTGCAGATAAGAGGAATAAATAATGAACGCGTGCGAGAAAACATGCGTTGGCGTGTGGCGGGGAAAAAGAATTTGCAAAAAAAATAGTGACCCCTTGCGGGTTTCGGCGGGTCCACGTCCATGTCAACCACCTGTCTCGACGCCTGTCTGGCGTGGGTCCGGCGTCGCGGCGTCGGCGCACGACCCACTGTAATGGCGCAGATTTCGTTGCAGGCGCAGCACTTTCGCAAGATCAGGTACAGATTTCGTGGCAGGCGCAGCGCTTTCGCAGGGTGAGGTGTAGAGATCATGGCAGGCGCAACACATTTGTAGGCTGAAGTGCAGTTGTCGTGGCAGGCGCGGAGCGATTTATTCAGAGTGCTGCAGCCTGCGTGCGTGTCGCTTGAAACTCTCGCTGCAGCGAGCAAAGAAGCGTTTGCGTTGTGTGAGTCGGATCTGCTTTTGTCTGAGCGCACGCGTGTGTTGTTGTGCTTGACATTGAGCAACGCGCGAGCTCGCGGGCTGGCAGCGTGTTCGATTGCTCCTAATGCGACGTGACGTGATTTGCAATGTGCGCTAGGTGTGTGTGTGTGTGTGAGTGTGGCACACGTGCGTGCGTGAGCGTATGTGTGTGTGTGTTTGTGTGTGTGTGTGTGTGCGTGGTTATTTTTGCGTCGGTGCGCGTATTTTCGTGTGTGTATGTATGTCAGCGCGCTTGCATGTTTGTGTGCGTGTATGTATGCATGCGTGTTTCAACATGTTATGTTTTGCTTCAATGCAATGTAGTGTCACGTCAGGTAATGTAATGGAATGTGCGTGTTTGTACCCGTGTGTGGCGCAGCCTTGTCGGCCCCTGATCCCTCTTGTCTTGGACTTGTCTTGTCTGTCCGCGTGGGTCCGTGAAGTGAACTCAGTCGGGGCACGGTGCATGACGTGAGCGCACACTTGTATCAGTGTGGTCGCGCTAGCCTAGCCGTACGAAGCCAATTGCTCACGCTGCGGCTACGCAAGCGCTTGAAGGAGAAATGAAATGCAAAAGAAAAGCAGCTGCACAGGCTGCTCACACGCGTGCTACTCAGCATCAGCTGGGGATTGGCGACGGGGGTGCTCATTCGAGTCCCGTGTTCCCGCCACCGGTTAAAATCAAACACGACTATGGCGTGCTTCGAGCTGGCGAATCAGCGGGTTGGGAGGAGCCCCTGTCTTGACGTCTCCCCCTCCAACGAGCTCGCTCAAGACTGCGCGCGCTTAACAAGCTAGCTAACAGTCGCAAACGCGGCCAGCATTAGTGTGGAGCACGGGCAGACCCGTTCGGACACTGCAACCATGTCTGGAAAACTGGGGCCGTATCTTGAGCAGAACCTTCTGGTCTCTCGTCTCTCTTGCCACAGCGAGCTGCACTGAGCTTTCCATCCCCGGCATGGTTTTGAGCGCTTCGTGAAACTTGCAGAACCCTGACCCCTCACTCAGACAAACTGTCATTCTGTGCATTGGCTTGGCCTGGCTTTGGGCGTGCTAGGGTGAGAGTTCGGGGGCCCATGCTGTGGGTGGAGCGTGTCAACACCTTAACACGGAAACATATCCGTGTCGCAGCTGGCATGGCCACATGACGATGGGGCCCGTTGTTGGAGATGCCTGCAACTCAGGAGAACGGCTTTCGTACCTGGACATCGAGCGTGCAGTTCTGGACAGCTCAACAAAGCGCTTCTTTTTGCTGGAGTTGCAGCCTTCAAGCGGCTCAACTTGGAGTGGCACAAGGCACCTTGCCTGAGGTGGGCTGCCCAACGCCCAGCACATGCAAAAAGGCAAGCAGCCAGCCGGCCAGCCATCTAGCGAGCCTGCGGCATGGGAGCAGTTTTTGACAGGTGACTGACACAATTTCACATTAGATGTGACCTGGTGCATAGATTGAACCTGACAATGCTCTGTTCCCTTGTTGTTGCCCATGCGGGGTCATGTTCAACCCTGGTACCACCCTGACAAACCTCACAGGAATAAGTCGACTGTGATGGGTGAAAGACAAGCTGTCAAGTCATGCATGTTCAAGCAAGAGCACCGGGCAGCACAGCAATCAAGGATACTCATTCAAAGTCCACACCGAGACTTGACCGCAAATGATGTTGGGATTGATTGCTCCAATGCTGGCTTACAAGAGCTGCCACCAACATGTTTCAAGGTGAATTGCTGATGCAGAAGCTTGCCCTATGCTGGCAGGCGCGCAAACGGTGAGCGCGCTGCGACAGCCCCAACTAGTCCAGAAACCGAGGTCTGGAATAATTATGAATACTTAGGATGGGGGGAACCGGTGTTTTTTTTTTACTAGCCCCGGCTCGGGGCTGAACCCCGGCTCGGAGACTGGTTGGTTGGTTGGTTGGTTGGTTGGTTGGTTGGTTGGTTGGTTGGTTGGTTGGTTGGTTGGTTGGTTGGTTGGTTGGCTGGGCGGCCGCATCCCCAGCATGCCCAGCATTTCCGGTTTCTTGTCACGGCTGCGTATGGGGCATGACTTGATGCTCGGGATAGCCGGCCGCATCGCCAGCATTACTGGCCTCACTCGGACGAGAGCTGCCTATTGGCTGTGGTTTGGTGGCAGTTCAGGGTTGATCGGGGCTGGTTTGGGGTGAGTGCTGGGCTTGCTGAGATATTAATGCGGGCGGGTCTTGGGTTTGTTTAGGGTTCATTTAGCCTCGGCAAAGGGCCGATATGCAGGATGCGGTTGGGAGGGTTTCAGGTTGACTTTGGGTCGGTTTTGGATGTGGTTCTGCAAGTTGTGGGCTAGGATTGGTGGTTTGGGGCAACGCCCCACAACCAATCCCAAACCAGCCCAAAACTTGCAGAACCACATCCCTGAAGCAACCCGAAAGCCACGCCTAAACCAGCCGCACATCTAGCACGAATCAGCCCCAACCAAGCCAAAACCGACCCAAAGTCAACCTGAAACCCTCCCAACTGCATCCTGCATATCGGCCCTTTGCCGAGGCTAAATGAACCCTAAACAAACCCAAGACCCGCCCGCATTAATATCTCAGCAAGCCCAGCACTCACCCCAAACCAGCCCCGATCAACCCTGAACTGCCACCAAACCAAAGCCAATAGGCAGCTCTCGTCCGAGTGAGGCCAGCAATGCTGGCGATGCGGCCGGCTATCCCGAGCATCAAGTCATGCCCCATACGCAGCCGTGACAAGAAACCGGTAATGCTGGCGATGCGGCCACCAACCCCCAGCTTGTGCCGAGCCGGGGCTAGTAAAAAGCCGGGGCTAGTAAAAAAAAAGCACCTCAACCAGGATGGGGTTTCAGTGCCTTACTGCAATGGCACAGCTTTGTCAACGTTGAAGAATGCGTGTGACTGGCTGAGTTCAGCAGGCAGAGATCATGTACCGGTTGTTCCAAGTCAAGAAGTTCGAAGTTGTGAAAGCAGCGTTGGGCGAGCAGTTGGCAACCATCAAGAACCTGTGGCTTGTCTGAAAGCATGGCATGCGTGCATCTGGACAAGACGCAGAGTCCGCAGAGTGGTCAAGTTCTGCTTTGTTTCTTGCAGCACGAGTGAATCTCAATCCCAGGACTGCGGACCAAAGCGATCTGATCAAGGCTGGAGAGGTCATAGTGCAAGAGGCAGCCAGTATTCTGCAACTCACCGTCAAATTTTTGGGGCCCAGGAAAGCCTGAGCTATATTTTTTCTAATTTGGAGGCAATCTCTAGGTAGTAGAAATAGAGTTCGTTTCGGAGTCTTGGCACTGCTCTTTGCCTGGGCTTGCTTTGGAGGGAACAGGCCCGTCATGCTGTTTGCTGGGCAATGTGCTGGGGAATGTGCTGGGCACGCTGTGGCGGGTTTTAAAACGGGCATGTGCACTTGCGGAACACTTGCGGAACACTTTTTAGCCCTTTTGCTTCGTAGGGCTGAATGTTCTTTCGTCGGTTTCGTCGGTTTCGTAGGTTGAGCCTTTCCGCGGCTACGCAGACAACTTCAGCTATCGTGGGTACAGCTTTTGGCTGCGCAAGGCGGGGAGATTCGGTGATCTGCCGCCTGAGATTACGCTTTGCACGAATTGCTGCCTCCATTTTTTGCTAGGGCTTTGAGAGCACCTCCGGCTTGAAGGATGGTGTTTTTCAGAATGATGAGGCGGGCGTGTGGCAACAAATCTTGACAGCCACAGAATGTTTCGGCTTGGAGCAAGGATGCCAAGTTGCTTAATAAATAAACCATGCCGTGGACTGCTATCGCCCGCCAGGGATGGGAGGTGAACTACAAAGCACAGCCAGTAGTGGTGCCACCTGGTGTGAGCGACAATCTTAGGCTTGCGGAGTTGCAAGGGCCTAGCCAACAGGCTTGAACAATCAGCATGAGCAGTTTGCACCTGCATGCGATTGTGACTTGAACCTGCTGTCATTTCGGACTAAGCACCCGGCTAAGGAGTCATGGTGCAGGTTGACAACGAGCAGTTGGTTATGGACTTGGAGAAGTCGCGAGATGGCTGCTTGCGAGCATGTTCTTGGATGCGCATGTGCAGCTGATGCCGTTTGGATGAGTTCACTTGGATTGTTTGAATTGATCACGCAGATTGATGTGTCGCGCTTGAGGAATGGATGATTTGAGATCAGTGGCGATGGAATACCAGCGGAGCTTGACCGAGAATTTGGACCAGTTCTACGTGGTGGTTACCTCATTCAGTGGAAGTAGCCAGATGCTGCTTTTGTCAAACAAATGTGGCTTTTGCAAACCACATGCTTGTTCCTCAATCGAGACCAGGTGGTCTCTGGGCAGTATCTCAAGAAGATGAATAGAACCGACGACATAGCATCCTGGGACGGGTGGGAATTCTTTGTGCGCTCAAAGGAGCGCTGATGTTGCCAGCCTTGCTACACCTGCTTCCTTTGTGGGATGCTGCCATCAACTTTTACCTGCTCGCCCATTTCTTTTGAAGGAGTATGCTTTTGCATGTGTTCTCTTCAGACGCCAGTGCGCCTGCCAAAGCATGTGACTCGCGTTTTGACCCATTTGTGCCTTGATTTGAGTCTTCCGCCCTGGGGAAGGGGGTTGGCTTTGATGCCGACGTGCTGCTAGACGTACTGCTAGATGAACTTCCGTCAGCAGGGCAAGCATTTGAATCAAATGAAGCACTCCCATTTGACCAATGACGTGCCTTGCAGGTACATCCCGCCACTGTGCAGCACATACCAGGACTTGAGCGTTCTCTGATCGCGCCAACCAGCTTTGCTTGACAGAAGACTCCATGCACAGAATTCTATTTTCGTGGGGCATGCCGCAGCTTTTGCAGTGCAAGCGCAACCTGTATTGCGCACTGCGTACACAAACAAAGCAAGCCACAAGCTGCAGTATACATCTGGCAGATGCTTTGTGCTACGCGTGCCTCCTTCGATGCAATTGATATCACTCGTTCACGCATACAAACACACACACACACATGTGTGCATACAGCTTTCAGCATGGCCAAGGCAATCGGAGTCATTGTGGGCTAGGAGTCACGTATTAGGAATATGAGCACACCTGCAACCTCGCACCCATGGAACTCTTTGAGCCATGTTGTGGACGCTGGCCGCCCAACTGGGAATTGCAGCTGCAGACGAGTGGCCCACAAGGCATGTGGGATTAGCACGGTGTGCGTGTGATCCCATGGTCTATATTCTCTGTCTGGATCAAAAGGACCACATTGGATAGTTTTCTCCTCAACCTGTGAGGTGCAACGCTTTTGGAGCCGAGTTCTTCGAGTACCCCGTCTGCATCTTGTGTGCTTCATTGGGCCTTGGACCTTCGACTTGTGTGCTGGCCAGTAGGCCTCTTGCACCATGTAAGGCAAGCAACTCGAGACTTCCTACCCTTCCAAAGACTTTCTGCCTGGGATGCTCAGCGTGCTCGAAATCTGTGCCGAGCCCAGGGTGAGGCAAGGCTGGCCAAGCGTAAGACGTGCGCCAGCGCAAGCAGAGTGAACTGAAAGAAGCCACATGATTCTGGAAAGTTGTCTTCTCCAGACATTGTCCGAACCTGCAGGCATGCTTTGTTGTGCGCATCAAAGACGGTCAGGTGGGGAATAGAATGCCGGTTCGAGAAGCATCAAGTGACAGTCACATGATTGCTGTATCCAACGGATGTGTACAATGGTGGTATGGCAGCCCTATGCGACAGGTGTATGTGGCCGAGGAGCAGCCCGGGTTCCAGGGACGGAATCGTATCACCATGGTGGCTCAGCTGAGGTCAGACTCGTGACAAGTCAGTCAAAAAGAGCTTTTAATTGCTGAGGCGATGCTACAACGGGTGTCCGCAAAATTTGGTCCACTCCCTGATGCTGAATTCGTGGCCTGGCTGCAGTAGTGTATAGTCCTTCTTTATCACAGAAACCACCATGAATGTCTCTGGATTAGGTGGTCGATACCTCGGATGGATATGCTCAGATTGAGGCACCCATATTTGTTATTGCAAAATTTCCTTCATCTTCAGGCCTGCATTGCATGGCATGGACGTGCATTGGTTATGCCTCTAAGCTGGTGCCAAGAGGTTGTAAACAGGTTTTATAAGCACACTTGCCAAACAGTGTACGAGTGACTTTTGACGAGTGCGCGTGTGGAGTGTGCGAGTAGGGCGTGCGAGTGTGCGAGTGGAACGTGCGAGCGAGCGAGTCACTCGAACTCTCGCGCGCCCTACTCGCACATTTTTCAGTCGCACAGAAATAAGTAGGTCTTGTTTTTACGACCTTATTTTCGGCCCGCAATCGAAATCAGTATTTGTGACCGAAAAAGAAGGTCTAAAAAAAGGGACCTTATTATTTCTGTGCGAGTGAAAGTGTGCGAGTAGGGCGCGTGAGTGTTCGAGTCACTCGTCCGCTCGCTCGCTCATTCCACTCGCACACTCGCACAGTCCACTCGCACACTTGCACGCACTACTCGCGCACTCGCACGCAGGGTACTCGGAGGGTGCTTGCGCAGGAACCATCATAATTTCATTTTACAACCTCTTGCATCCGCTAAGTTATGAAAAGTTGCAATTTCTATTTGGCAGCTTGATGTTGACAGCCTTGAGGCGGAATTCTCTACCCAGACTTCTCCTCATATGCATGGCCTGAGTCCGAATGCCCACTTGAGCTTCCTGGATCACATGTATGGTCCCGGGCTGCTGCGAAGATTGCGGAGGCATTGCATGAACAATTGAGCCAAGGCATTCATCGCTTTGATGTCTAAAGCCAGCGGTTGCACACTTGGTGTCGCAGGCGCCAAACTGGTCGCGGAAAGTGGACGAGTTGTTCTGGCGAGGAGCGGCAACATCCCTGTACAGGTGTCGTGGGTTTTAAGCTTGCACAAGGTGATGGAATGGTCGGTCATCATCAGTGTTTGATGCGAAATCGTGACTTGCATTGCAAAGAGTCGAGCTTACCATACTTTTGTTTGTAACAAGCAAGACTTGCTTCTTAAAAATGACCATGGCAACGCGTACGCAACTCTTGATCTTGTATGGAACATGTGAGACAACCGTTCTCTGTGGCATTATGTCAAGCCTTGTGCCAGGGAAAAGGTTGCAGCACGCATCGCAGCCTTGCCTTCCGCAAATGTATCCATCATGAAGTGGATCATTGGAGCAGAGGGTCAGCGCCAGGCCAGGTAATCGGCGATCCCACTTTTGACACTTTGAAACTTTGACGCTTTGACGCTTTCTATGGCGAATTCTCGAGCCATTGGTGAGCTTCGCTGAGCCGACAGGCCGTGAGCAGTGGCGATGATTCTTGCGTTCCGATCGACGAGTGGTGCCAATACAGGCACCAAGGGTACAGAGCTGTGGATGTTGCCATGTCGCAGGATGACAACCATGAAATTAGGCAAAAGAGGCATGCGCTGCTGCGCTGCATGTCTTTTCTACACTCAAATTGATGAGCAAGATTGCTGCCTGCCCTGAGGTATTTAGCGAATTTGCCTGGAAATACAATGGCGCTGGCACTCAAGTATCGACTTCTGTGTGGCTCCGTGGTTCTTTCCAGTCCCCTGATGTACCATGAATGGTACTATTCGCAGCTTAAGGACACGCTGTTTTCCCGAATGCGCAGCAGAAGGGTTCCCTTTAGAGGTCGGGGGTCTGGGGGTTAGGACTTGACCAGAAGTCGTCGTTGATTTTACGTCCCCAAGCGTTCGCAAGCGTTCGTATGTGTTCGCGAGTGTCGCGGTCGCAGCTCCAGTGGGGAAAGCGAAAAACGTGCCATTTAGATGACTTGAAGCGTGTCATTTTTCGTGCCCCTGTGCGGGAATTGTAGCTCTTGGCATGTCAGACGTTGTTTTGCTGCGCAGGCGCAGTGTTTTGTGAAGGTTCACGTTTGCGTTGCAAATCCATTGTGATTCGCGTTTCAGGGGTTGTCGTTTTGAGGTGTTTTGCTTGGAATGCGCGCGCAAGCGTTTCCTCGATCGCGCAATCGGCTCGCTTTCACGACTGCAGATTTGCGAGAAATCGGTCGAAATCATTCTGGCGCGACAGTCCCGCGCTAGTTTTCCGCGTGCGATGCGAGAGTGTGAAATTCAGATATCGTGGCAGGCGCAGCATTTTGAGCGTTTTGCATGTCACTATAACGTCATTTTTCGTGACAGGCGCAGCACTTTCGAGCTGTTCGTGAAGATTTCGTGGCACGCGCAGCACTTTCGAGCTTTTCGTGCAGATTTCGTGGCAGGCGCAGTACTTTCCAGCTTGCGTGCATATTTCGTGGCAGGCGCAGCACTTTGATGGGTCGAATCGCTCTCGCTGTGGCGCGGTGCACATTTTGAGATCGCAAAGTGAACCCTTTGCCCGGTTTAGGTGGGTCGAATCGCTCTCGCTGTGGCGCGGCTCACATTTTGAGATTGCAAAGTGAACCCTCTGCGCACTTTGGGCGGGTCGAGTCGCTCTCGCTGTGGCGCGGTGCGCATTTTGAGCTCGCAAACGAATCGATCTCGCTGTGGCGCGGTGCACATTTTGAGATCGCGCAGTGAAACTTTGCGGGTTGAACCGCCTTGAGCACATTTTGAGATCGCGAAGTCGTGACGAAACACGTGACGAGAGAAACGCGAGTAGGGTCGTGGCTAGAGACATGAGAAACACCACGGAAGACAGGACGGGAGATGTGACGGAGTCGTGATGTGAGGCGCGTCGAGACACATGATGAGAGATGTGATAAAAGTTATGACGAGAGACGGGGCCAGAGGCGTGACGATGGATGTGACAAGAGGAGAGACGGGGCGGCAAATATGACAAGAGACGTGTGAGAAGAGACGTGGCGAGGGTCGTGACAAGAGACTTGACCAGAGACGTGACGCGAGGGGTGACGACGCGCGCGACAGGGCCTCAAGAAAGACGTGGCAGGAGATGCTACGTAGTCGTGACGAGAGGCGGGTCGAGACACGTGATGAAAGATGCGATGAAAGTCATGCCCGCGAGAGAAGGCGTGACCAGAGACGTGACGAGAGATGCGACAAGAGATGCGACGAGCGTCGTGATGCGAGAGGTTACCAGAGACGGGGCGGCAAATCTGACAAGAGACGTGTGAGAAGAGACGTGGCGAGGGTCGTGACAAGAGACGTGACCAGAGACGTGACGCGAGGGGTGACGACGCGCGCGACAGGATCTCAAGAAAGACGTGACGGGAGATGCGAGAGGCGCGTCGAGACACCTAATGAAAGATGTGATGGTGAAAGATGCGACGAAAGTCATGACGAGAGACTTGGCTAGAGTTTACAAGCGACCTGTTAAGGGACGTGACCAAAAGCGTGACTAGCTATCGTGACGATAGATGTGACAAGAAACGTTGTTACGTGAGGCGCGACAAAGGACGTGACCAAAGACGTGACTAAGAGACATGACCAGGAAAAATGAGAGACGTGATAAGAGACACTGTTACTGACAAGGGGCATGACCAGTGACTATACACAAAAAAGAGGCATAGCCAGATACTCTACGTGGCGATAAGTGTTACAAGAGACGTGTGAGAAGAGACGTGACGAGATTGGACCAAAGACGTGACGAGAGATGTGACAAGCGACGTGTCGTGTGAAAAGAGACGCGCCACGAGAGTCGTGACCAGAGACGTGATGCGAGGGCCGACGACTCATGCGTGACAAGAGATGAGAGTCGCCAAGAAAGACGCGGCGGGAAACGCGACGGAGTCGTGACGACAGGCGCGGCGAGACACGTGATAAAAGACTAGAGACGCGATG